AGAAATAATTATAAATAAAATTGGTTTTTAACAATTTATAAAACAAATATGTCCTGCTGGCAATTTCTTATGATAGCCGATACGCAGTGTATCGGCTGTAATGTATATTTAATTACATTTATTTCGATATAAACTTAAATGAAATATTGATTGACTATCTACGTCTATTATCGTTTAATTCCATCGAGATGTCAAAGCACCTACAAGCAAACAGTCCATAGACGATTCTATTCACCAATTGGTTTCGTCTGAATGTTAAACAAGATCAAATCCAGCTGTCGCGTTGCTGAAAATCTGATTAAAAGGAAACCGTACATGGTTGAGATTGAAAATTCTGTTCCTGTCACGTTTCCCGCGCGCAGCACGTGTATCGTACATCACATGTCAAATGGCACCTAAATTAATTATTTTTGAAAAACACTTGGTAATCGGAAGAGGCACAATTGAGACGATATAATTACAGAATTGGTTGGATGACCTTCATACAATTGTTGACATCCAAAATTAGAATCAACCAAAAGCGGATATCAGTTGGTGGCGCTCGTGTATTTTATAAATTTGCATAATTTAATTACACAACGCGTAGTTCGGGGGTTAATTGTAATTCACGTGGATTCGGGTCCTCGCAAAGTTCCATCTGGGACATCCCTGAGCCGACTAAGCGTCAGATTGTCATTGCGGTTGAGGGTGTTTCGTGTGCATGCCAACTATGCCGCTAATTGGTCCAAGTAGTGCACTAGCGCATTATTCGGAGAACCGTTATATCCGTAGTCTTGGAAATTTAATTAAAAGGTTTAGGTCTACGCAAAGACGACTCGAATAACGCGCGGAGCTTGCACAGTAGTAGAGCAGGCCGCTCACCCCTGGCAAATATCGACCGACGTAGAGGTATATATGTCCTTGTCGAGTATATTGGCACCCCTAATTCTGCATCGCGGCCTGCGGCTCTCGAGACTCTTGAGCGATGTTGTACCTGATCGAGAGAGTCGCCTCTTCACGAGTCAGCGGAAGCACGTGGAAAACTTAATGAATCGTGCATGCGACAGCGAAAGCTTTATGCAGTCTAATCTTTAGGAAATAATAATGACAAATGCAAAAACATTACATAAAAAATCGTTCTTCATTTTCACACTTTTTTACATTTTTTCTCAATTACTTCTCAATTAATCTGTTGTTGATTTTTTCTTAATGAAAAAAGGTTACATTGAGAAAATTGAATTTTAAAAAATGGTTCAAATGGCTGGAAATGAAATTTTTTAAGTAAACTGATTTTGTTTTTAAATAAAATGAGGACGGCTCTATGTAATTTTATGAATTTCACTCACGCGACATGTTTTATGTCACAAATTGTAGACTTCGTCGATAGCTGCCTATGAATAATTTTTCTCGATAGCATCATGCGATCTGTGCAATAGTTCGCTAAAATACATATGTCATTCATTTGCTAATACACGTCATCTATCTTAACTTTAAAAATACAACCTTTTTACTTCCTACATTAAAGATTTTCCAAAGATCTTCGATATTTAAAATAGTTAAATGCCAAGTGTTAAAAAGGAAAAAAATTTATTGACAATTAAAGTAAGTTCAAACGCATCAAATTAAAGCTTTTATACTTGAAACATTAATAGCTCAATGCAGAAGGATTGCAAATTTGATATAAGAGGTACCAAACGATCATTGTTGACGTTACTATTTTTCAAATTAATATTTCTTGTATAAAAGTTCTTGTATAAAAGTAAAATTCTGAAATTTTTTGCTTTTTCAATAATTATGTTCTTTATACTGATGAAATATTAGATTTTTATTACTTTTTTTTCATAATATATTCATCATTTTTCATAATATATTCACTTGTTCCCTTTAGTGAGAAACATTGATATTTTCAGTGTTAAGAAAATTGTTCTAGGCAATTATTAGTTGATGCAATTCATAAAATATTTGTTGCAATAATGTGAATTATTCACAATCAATGTTGAATAGATATAAATCGAAGGATTTCATAATCCATTATTACTTACTTTATATTCTTACTATTTATATTATTATTTTTAATTTATTTAAATCTATCCTTTCTTTAAAAATAATCACTGAACTATATACAAATTTAAAAACACGGTAAATCGACTGGAACTGTAACATGTTATAAAGTGGCAGTGAAATGGAGGTCTACGCCGCAGGCAATCTCGTCTACGTTAAAGCAGTAGCTGTCCGATTGTATTAGCGATACCTCAGGCACTTTCGGAATCAGGTGTTTGGGTTTTCGCGGGAGAATCGAAAGAATCTCTGACACGTTTACGCGAAGCCATGCGCATCCCTTTTTCTTTCCGCTGCATTGTGCAGGGTACACTATTCCGATTATCCTCCGGCGCGCGCTGGCACGAGGGCGTGTCGTCGTCGCCGAGAAGTGTCGTCGGCCCTGCCAGCGTCGTACGGCGGCAGAGGGGGGACGCATCCTGGCGTGTGAGCAAATTGCAAACGTGAGTGCGCGCGGCGTAATGTGCATTAAGCCGAGAGACACGGCTAACGAGGAACGGGGCGGCCGACTATGCGGCGCGGACAATAAAAACAGCAGCAGGTTGCCGATCGCGCGGGGAAAACGTATCGAGGGCATCGATCCTCCCCGAGTCACCGATGTGGCCTCACCGCGCTTAATGCACCCACATGTGCGACGGCCGCATCGCACCACGCCGTATACCACCTCTTACGAATCGATGCACCTACGCTCCTCCTGCACCATGAGCCGATGCATCCATGCGCGCTAATGCAACTATACGACTCGCTCCGTCTTAGCGTGTACGCCGCGAACTGATGCGTGCACGGGTTCTCCCTTGATGTATTATAATTATGTATTTCTCTCTTAAATGAGAACAGTTTGTTATTTATAAGTATTATTTGTCGTGTAATGCATAATTAATTAACTTTGTTAACAATTAAAATTAAATTATTTTAACATAATAGATACATATAATTATACTTACATAATATTATCACATTATTGTCATGTAATACGTATAGTATCTCTGTTTATTAAGCGAGCATTATTTATTTACGGTAATATAAGTCAAGCTAGTATTTTAAATTGTATTTAAAAACCAGATCAAATTAATATATCTACATCTTCAAGCTAAATTAATATTGCATTCATTTATAATGTATTTGTATTTAATACAACGTATTTAATAAATGAAATAAATAAAATGTTTATCAATTGTATTCATTAATTTGTGAAATTAATTGAAATATAGTTGAATAAATTTGGCAATAGTTTAACATATTATATAAAATTTGATGTATTTTTATTAATCAATCGTAGTATATTTATTTAAAAAGCCAAGACTTATTACATTTAATTTTTACATTCAATTTTTTCAGTGATTGGATTTCGGTTATATGTGATAAAAAAAGATAGTTTCTCTCTCTCTCTCCTCTCTTCATCAACGCATACACATTTTCCTTTATATTAGGCAAGATGTGTGGATCTCTGTTAACTCAAGAGAATAAGTGTAAATTTCTTCACTTTTTATAATAAGAAAAATCATTTCATTTTTATTGTGAAAATTTTATAAATTTTGATGACCTGACACATTCATATATATGCATGTATACATATGCATATATGAGTATAGAGACAGTGCACACATATATACATACACACACACTTTTGTGTGTGTGTGTGTGTGTGTGTGTGTGTGTGTGTGTACACATGTATATAAAAATAATATAATTATATACATAGATATACTTAATTGCACATTTTCTTTTGTGTTCCATGGCTAACGGAGATCTTATCAAGTATAAATAGACTCTCTATTTATATGACATATTCTCCTTATATGTGTATCCGCACTAATTAACATCTATGTGACTATATATATTTGTATCCAAAGTGCTTGCGTTCGATATATATGCCTATACGTATTTACACTGACACGCGTGTACAATATACATGTGTATGGAAAGACGTGTTCCTAAACTCTATAGGGAGATATTCAACAAATGCAACGCTATGCTGCAAAACACTATGTAATTAATGACATACATGAAAACATAATTTATATTTATAACGATATCAATTCAAACAATGCAATTGTATATTGACAGAATTAAGTTCACTCAATTTATCCCAAAATTGTGCCAGTTTGTGTAACATTAAAATGCAGGCTTAAAAAAATATCTAATGGACACATCATTTAAAAAAATCTTTTCATTTCCATAATTGCGAGTCGTCACGAACTTTATTTTTATCGTTCATTGTTATCTGATATTTATATTACAAAGTGATGTACTTTAGATATGAATCATATTGTTCTACATCACGTTTACGCAGAGTTGGGTAGTGCTAAGATTAAAAAGATAATTTCAACTTAATTTAGTTACATTTTGGACTCTTACTTTTTAACTTAATTTAGTTATATTTTATATATAATTAAATTAACTTTTAATTTGATTTTTTTTAAGTCAATCCTTAAATACAATGCGAGAGGCTAATGAGTATATAATTTAGTAATTTTATATTGTATAATTATTACTTGTGAACAAAAATAACTAGATTCTTTAATAAATAAATTGTGAGAAAGGAAAAATACGAAAAATTATTTAAAATAATGAAACTTTTTCTTGTTTTTTTTTTTATTATTCTAAAATTTGAACTAAATTTAACTTTTAACTTTTTAATTACTTTTTTTATTAACTTAACTTTTAATTCAATTAATTTTATTATGAATTAACTTGTATTTTAATTAAGTTAAATTTTCAAGGCTATTAACTTTAATTTAACCTACTTAGTTAAAAAAAAAGTTAATTTTCTCAACCTTGCATTTACGAATGTATAAGTTTTATTTTTAAAATTAGATAAAAAATCGAATATTTCTAGACATTTCAAATAAATACAAAATGATTTATACGAATATGTTTTATTTATTTTCTTATAAATTAGATTAAACTAATGCGTTCTTAAATAAAATTTTAATCACATATTTATTTTTTTTGTTTGTCAGGATGTGCCCTTCATAAACCCTGCCAACGTAGTGTTCGTGTATATGCTAGTGAAAGAGCTTGTCGATGGAGATGAGGCATCCGAGAAGGAGCTCCAAGCAACGGTACTGACGTGTCTTTACCTGAGCTACAGTTACATGGGTAACGAAATTAGTTACCCGCTGAAACCGTTCCTCGTCGAGGACAGCAAGGACAAGTTCTGGGACCGATGTCTCCTGATCGTCAACCGACTTAGCTCCGAGATGCTGCGAATCAACAGCGAGCCCGGTTTCTTCACAGAGATTTTCAGCGAGCTGAAGGTACGTTCTATTGTTAAAACTTTATAATAAATGTTTTGAGAATCATATATACTCTGCACCTTGTTACTTATTAATTTCAATACAATATAATTAATACAATACATATAATCAATACATATAATTAATACAAGCACAATGAGATAATGTTTCTTATTCCAAAAGATAATTAAAAAAATAAGTTTTCCAGAAGAAAGGAAAAATTATTTTTCAACTTGGCAGAAAATTGTCTAATCAAATAATGTTGCAGCAAAAGGAATATAATCATTTTTGTTCTCGTTTCACAGTTTTTAAAAAAATTATCTTTTCTGAGTTGTGATTAAGACGATTTTTTATGACGTTAGATAACTTTTAATGAGATAATATTTGCTTAACTCATTTGTAGTCATAACTCGAAAATCACTTTTTTATGTCACTTTTGAAATAAAGGGAAGATAATATTTCCACTTTAAGAATTTGATATAATTATTTGATTTTACTAATTTGTTAATTACTTATATTATAATTTTTGCATTTGAAACACATAAATCAACAAAAAAACTTTAAAATAGTTTTTTTATTAAAATGAAAAATATCGTTTATTTGATAAGAGGCGATAATTTTCCTCCTATATCCTCTTCGAAGAATTGTTTAAGAAAAATCGCACGACAAAATAAGATCATTGAATCTAACTCTAATTTGCGATTTCGAACAGGCCTGCGGTTCCAGCGAACGCGGAAGTCTGTCTGGCAGTGGCCTCGAACGGAGCCTCGTCGTCTCCGGAGTCGCGGTACCCACCAAGGCAGCTTGACGGAGCTACACACACCTGCTGGTGCGCATCGCCAGGCACGGCTGCGACGTCACGACGCTCTGACGATGGCCGTCGCGACGACGTGGAGCCGCTCTCGCAGCTTGACCCCACTGCATCGACCTCGACTTCAACCCCGACGTTGCCCCGCCCGCAGCCGCGGTCTAGTCGCGACGATGACATATTCTGCCCATCGTGCGGCCGCCGACGTCGGGAGGAGATCTCATGGATGATCGAGGATTTGGATGCCATCGAACCGGCACCGTTAGAGTCGCAAAGAACACCGACAAAAATCTGTAGCTGTGGCGAGACCAATGCCCGTAGAGAACGCGCCAGTTTCCTGAGGGTACGTAGCACTGAAGTGACATGGAGTACTAGCAGCTTCTTGTCGCCCGACGAGGCAATCTGGGATTTGAGAAGGCGCACCAGCGAGGGTACGGAGTTTCGCTGGGAGCTCCATACCTCGACCACAGACTTGGATCTCGTCAGAAAAACCAAGTGCAGCTGCCACAGTCTAATTCCGGGACAGAAAAAACCGGAAGGTGTACACCGCGGCGATCTCAGAAAGCATCACAGTGCAGAGACGGACAAGTGGTCAGTCAGACCAGAAAATCTGCTGACACCGATGCACGACCTAAGGAAGCACAGCAGCGACGACACCAGATTCGCGAGGGAGGCCAGATGGTTACAAGTGCCGGATGTGATGCCGAATCCAAAGCCCAGATGTACCTGTCCCAAAGTGAAAACGCCACCACCCGCCTCACCAGTGGAAGTGAAACCGGAGCTAAAGGAACCGGAAAAGCCGATCATGCAGAAGGAGGAAAAAAAGTTGTATTACTCAAAGTCGTTGACGCCCGAGGAACCAGCCGTGCTATGGGAAAAGCCAGAGGTGAAGAGACAAGCCAGCGAGGATCCTAGAGCCGCCAGAGGAAAGCCCAGGGATAGACCCAAACTGGAGCGCTCCGCTCAAGTGAGAAGCGAAAGTTCGAGGAGATGGGGCTTCTCACAAAGAGATAAAGACAAGGATAAGGAAAAGGAGAAGGAAAAGGTCATCAGCCCGGTGGAGAGCAAGAAGCCGATACGAGCGAGATGGGCGATGAAGCCGCATGTCTCTCTACCCGCCGAGAAAAAAGCGCCGAAGTGGTACAGAAGCCAAGACGAGACGAAGAGCAAGAGTCTGCGCGAACGGCCCAAGTACAGCATACGCAGAAGCATGTCCCCGGAGCCGGATCCACGACAAATGAACAAGCTAGAGAACAGAATTGTGCGACGTCTGATTTCACCAGAGATCAGCATCACTAGCACCAAGTGGGCACCGTATGAGGACTCGTCACCGTTACCGACGATTGGGATAAGAAAACGCGAAAAGCAGAAGCACATCAGTGATATCAAGTGGACGCCATACGACGAATCACCGAGCGAAATCCCAGTCGAGATAATCGATGACAAGAAATGGTCACCCTTTCAAAATGTCACGCCTACACACTGTCCACCACCGGAACCGGCGACACCCAGCAAGAGTGATGACGAGGAGTTCCGATGGAAGATTCTCAATATGGTCGCGCCATTCCCACTCTACCAAGGCGGTTGGAAAGACGAGTCGCCGGAGAAAACACCACCGAAAAAGGCGACGACGCCAGATGACCTATCGACGCCGATCTGGTCACCAAGGGAGCCTACCACGCCCACTGCTAAGCGGAAGAGTTTCGTGCAGCCGGATTACTCGCCGGAATACTCACCAGCAGCACGCAGATCCAGCAAGCCCCGGCTCATTCGGAAGGGTGCGATCAGGGTGAAAGCGTCCCTCCCCACTACCAGTCCTCTGGAGGACAGACTGCCCCAGGCCGGACCGCCCCCGCCGACGGTAATAATACGTGCTGCTAGTGAGGAGACTAAACGACAGAGGCCCCAGCTGACCAGATCCAAGGCCCTGCTGGAGGTGCCGAAGCATATAGATGCAACGAAGAGATCGTTGAGCGAAGAAGGACCGCGCATGCATCCTCGCGAACGTCCCAAACCGCCTGGAAGAACTCGCAGCGAGGAAGTGTCCAAGTACGACGATCCTTGGTTGAAGGCGGAGTCTTCTGAGCTGCGTGAGTACGTTACGACGGTATAACGATTCCTTCCGTAAACCGTCGGTGTCGTTAGGTGTCATCGGCAGTGAATGTGGGCACTGGCTTCCTTAATTTATAATCGACCCGCTTATTACAAGCAGCTCAAAAAAAAAATAATGCAGCAAGATATATAAATGGAGATCGTGTACAGGAATTATTATTTTCTAATATATCCATTACTACAATTTTATAAAGAGTTACTGAATAAAAGTACGAGGTCTCAGACTAAAATGATGTTAAAATTGGGGTTCAAACAGCTACTCGGAGAGAGAGGGCGTCCCGCGACAGAGAGCGGCTCGGTTATCCTCGCAAGGGCCTCATGAAGAGATAATCTTCGAAACCACCTAAAAGACGAGACGGCAGGGCACAGCTAGTCGAGATGAAGATTAACGAGGTTCGAACGAGACGGGAAGGAAGATTCTAACACAATCGCATTCGTATGGGTGCCGAAAACTTCGTTGGCCTACACGAAGACTACAATGGAAAATACCAAAAAAAAAAAAATTAGAAGAAAAGAAGAAAAACGAAATAACTTCGAATTCATTTTCGGCATTCGACGGTCGTTTCCACAGCGAGAGGCGAGTCGAAACGGGCGGAAGTCGAGGCGAGGGGTCAAGAACTGACTATTATTATTTAAATAGAGTAATATATACATGTGCGTTTTCGCGTTGCGCTCGCAAGGAAACGGAGTTTACTTCTCCTCGGGGCGCGGCGCCTATAATACTCTCAGCTCAAGACGAGATGTAGGGTTGCGCGCGACTGGGCGGACATCCGGCAGGAAAATCCGCGAACTCTGTGTGAGGGCGAGCAGACGAAAAAGCCGGTTGCCACCCGGCGAGCGTATACGAGACAATGGTTCACCCGTAGGGCGTTGATTGATAGTTCTGTACCGTAATTAGTAACGTAATGCTAAAAACGATTAAAGTATCGACTAGGGAATAAATAAATGACATGAATCTCTATAGTGTAAGCGTGACTAGTTGATTCGCGGAGAAAGTGTTCTCCTACGCTGTTCGCTACGGAGAATGAGAGATATACACAGGGTGCGTCCGACGTGGATCGAGGGATCCGTCTCGACGCGCGCGAATAAATAACATTTAAGCATAATTTGTATATGTACGTATATTCCGTACGTGTACACGTAATTATATAATATTTGTAACGTTCGCTTTTTTTTTTGAGCGACAAGTGTATAAGGAGGAGAGAAGGTAGAGAGGTAAATAGAAGAGAAGGAGAGGAAAAAAAAAGAAAATCACGGAGATGCGATTCGAGCGCATCGTGATCAAAGGATTGGCCTCGTTCCAGGGGCAACGCGGATCTCCGCGTGGATCCACTCGATCGAGAACTGTCGGGACTCGACGAGATACGACTCTTTGTTATTCATTCATATCTGTTTTTCTTTTTCTTTTTTTTTTATACGTTATACACATATGTCGACGTGCGAAATCATTGGATCGATAGCGTAGTCCCGCAATTTACGATCGCAGGAGTGCGTGCTGAGATCCAAATTCGCGACGATCGATTTCATTCGTTGTTTCGGGCGACGATCTGGCGGTCGTAACGTAAAATAAAAAAAAAAGAAAAAACGTCGCCGGATACGTAGCCCTTTCCCGTGTGCCGGTGCGTGCAATATTAATTAAGAGGTCGAAACGACTCGAAACGTCGGTAGACAGCCGCGTGAATACGGGATACTAAGAGATGAGAAAAAAAAACTCTAAATTCTTTGAAGTGGAATCTTACTCTAGGAGTGAAAATTGAGCCAGTATCTTGAAAACGAGTGACTCAATTCAATCTTTAAGAGCGAGATTCACTCTTTGAGGTGAGATTTATTGTAAACATTTTAGAGAGTAAGGAGGACTCATACTAGCAAACGTCCAAGGGACGTTCTAGATGTTCAGAAGACGTTCCAAAGTCTTGAGAGTATATTGTCAGAACGTTCCTCGGATAAGGGGTGCTATGTAGGGAGAAAACAGACAGGGTGTGTCCGTGGGGGGACGATCGGCTGCGCGTAACTTGATCGTTTCTCCCTTCGTCCTCGGTGTACGTAGTTCGTTTTCGATTGAACGACGCCGTGTCTCGTTGCCGCTTGTGTTGCCACTCGCCGCGTGCTACTCGCTTCAGTTTCGCGTTTGCGCATGAAGGACATTTCGTTGTGTCCCGCCTTCGATACGGGACGGTTTCGCGCAAGTTTTTTTCTCCACCCTTCCTTGCGCCTCCCGTGATCTTTTTTATATCGTGCGCGTGTGTCTCGTGAACGATACGGCTCAGTGTTCTGCGCAGCTGATATTAACTATGTATAGCATAGGAGATTTCTCACTTATAGGTACCGTCATCCATGAGCAGATACCGTTAATGGAGAGGCCACCCCCTCGCGCACATTAGGGGCGTGTTAGTTGCACCCGAGTGCGCTCGAGCGACGACGCTGATTAGACGTCAACCCTTTATTTTCCTCCATTGGCGAACACGTCCGATCTCGTGTCGTGCGAACGGCCGCCGTCGTTTAGTGCATAATTTTTTTTAGGATAGCTCCGCGTATAATTGGCGCCGCGTGAACGGTCACCGGTAATTTCGCGATATCTTTTTGTCTAAGTACCTTTGCTCTCTTTCTCTCTCTCTCTCTCTCTTTCTCTCTCTCTCTTTCTCTCTCTCTCTTTCTCTCTTTCTCTCTCTCTCTCTCTCTCTCTCTCTCTCTCTCTCGATGCACCCTTTCGCACGCTTCCCTTTCGTTCCCTTCTAGTCTCGTCGATCATCCATAATTATTCTCGGTAACGTGATCGATGAGCGATTAGTGATATTACAACTTAGCGATATGATAGAAGTTAATTCGAGTAGCAAAGTATCCGCGGCGAGCAGGGGTTGTTACGTTCGTTTACTCTTGCACTCCGTTCGCATCTTGCCTTCTGAGCATCACG